CCCCCCCCCCCCCCGTGTCTTCCCGCCTCTTGTTCTTGCAACAGCGTCTGGCGGAGGCGTAGCTAAAGAGCCGCTGCAGACCAGCCGGGAGGAAGATCCCTCGAAGTCACCGCGGCGGCCGCGAGAGAGCCAGCAGCGCGGCCGGGAGCGGTCGGTCGCCCCGTCTGGCGGTCGCACAAGAGGACCAAGAGAGCCGGGCTGAAGACGCCCCGCGACGCCTTTTGGGTTCCCGGCTGTACGTTGCTCTGAGGGTGAGGGGGCTTCTGCTGCCGCCTGAAGCCATGCCTACGCGAAGGGAGGAGTGCGCGGTCGGAGGAGGGGAGACCTTTGTAAAAGAAGAGGAGGAGGAGGAGGAAGAGGCGAAGGTGGTGGTAAAACGAGAGGGCTGCTTGGAGTATGAAGGAAAATGGGAAGGTCTAGTCCATAAAGAGTCTGGAAAGCACGGGAGCGCCAGAGAGTAGAGGCGCGCGCACCCAACCTGTTGCGGCTAACCAGAGCAAACAGGTCGGGCAGAAGATGAGCGCGGATTTCTTCTCCATTTCTGGAAGGAATCCGGATTTCTGCGGGGAAGCAGTGGGGTGGTACATAGTTTACGTTGGTGAAATCTGTATGTGAGGGAGTGAGGGAGAAAGGTGGTGGTGGGGGGAGAACATACAAGGAGAGGGCAAGCATTTCGAGGGAAATCATCTTTGCTCGGTGTTTTAGACACGTTCCGGTTCAGCAAACTAGATTCGTGCTCGAGATGCTTCGCTGGGTGTCCAGTAATTAGGGATAGGAGGATACAGGGAGTTTACAGCCACGTGCTGCCCTCATCCTTGAGAACCGATTGCAGATTGGGAAGGGATGACGTTGGAGGCGATGTCTTCTTTCATTAGTCCTTTGGGCAATGAGAGATTCAGCAAGTAATTGGTGAATAAGGCATCAACGTGCTTCAAGAAAGCCCCAAAAAGGAGTGATGAAAAGAATCTCTCCCCCTCCTCTCCCTCCCTCTGTCTCTCTGCAATATTTTTCTCCCCCTCTGAAATCAAAACATCAGATTTTTGTTCAGCGTCACAATTGTGGTTAATTTTTGAATTAACATATTGTATGCTGTATTACTGATGTGTTAATGTTTGATGTTACATGTTTTCCAGTTACTTTTTTTTTTCAAATTCTACCATAGAAACAATATTACTTGAGATAAATAGAAACTGGATGCAGGGCAAGGCAGAAGCACATATGTCTAAAGGAAGATCATTTTAAAAGAATATTTACATGTTTCTGCACATGAACAGCATGCTTGAAATTCAAGATGTGGGTTTGATCAGACTTCCTGAATAGTCATGTGGACCACATAGAAGCAGCATGACTCTGAAGTTGCTGTAACAGGCACTTTAAAAGAAAGGAAATATCCTGTATTCTCTACTACTCTGTATAGACAAATACCTTTACTCTGAATAGAAATTAATACTTCCGTCAGGCTTGTTAATTCCAGGATTGAGACAATCTGCTTCAGCCTTAGATTCTTCTTCCATAACATTCAAATAGTAGCTTGCCCCATATACTTGTTTTACGAAAATCCATTTTACATAATTAATTAATTTGATTGTTGTAAGCCATTTTAAGTGGCTGTATCAACACAAAATCAGGGTATAAATTCATTCATTTATTAATAATTAATTAACAAATTATGACTATTCCTTCATGATAGAATTTTTTATTATTATTCTGAATACCTCTCCCAGTTTTATGTGATTATAATGTATAACGTTGTTTTTAACTTGTTTTGCATCTGTTTTACTTCTAATTAGCCATTGGAAATTGTACCCCTTTCCAGGTTGCTTGATTGGAGCAACCTATAGGCTCTGTAAATAAATCAATTAAAATATAATATTTTACATGAATTAATTTGGACATGCAAATAACAACTTGAGTATCTTTTTCATACCTTTATGGGTACAAAGAGAGACATGTTTCTCCATTAGTGTATCTGTGATAATTAGTGCATCTATAGTAAAAAGATACCTTTTATATTATTCATATCCATCTTCATCATTTTTTTAAAGTTCCCTGGCAAATATATTTGTTACATCAGGAAAAATAATTGCAAGAGGCAGTTCTGAGGAATTAATTGTACAATGTCATATTTATTATCATCATCCTACAAATATTAATGATTTCAATGACATTAATTATGTGTGCTACCTTAATCTTCATAGTTAAGATTCTAGGCCTGATATACCAGTTAGCATGTGTGTCTTTTCACAGAACCTGCAATTTGCTAGATCTAATTTTCTTTCTTTATTAACATTTTTAAACCACCCAATAGCCAAAGCTTTCTGGGCAGTTTACAATAAAACACACTAAAAAAATACAGTTTCAGTAAAACATATACAGTAAAGTCAAATAAAATGCAAAATGAAAACCGAATATAACCTAGGCAGCAGCAGGGTGGTCATTCAAAATCTAAAACAACAGACATTAAAATACAATTAAAAGCCAATTAAAAAGCCTGGGAAAATAGCAAGGTCTTTACCTGGCACAGATGTAATGCTAATATCAGTGCCAGTTGAGCTTCTCTGTGGAGGGAATTCTGTAAATGGAGTGCCACCACAGAAGAAGCTCTCTATGGCTTTTATATTTATAGCAGTGTTGTCCAAACTTGGCCACTAAGATGAATTGACTTCAGCTCCCAGAATTCCCCAG